AATTTTGGCTCAAATCTTACTAGCTAAGGTATCTGGAGATTGAGTACAAATAGTTGGCTTCCCTTTTCTTCATCAACTTTCAATCTACAAAGAGACTTCCATTTTGATCTCTTTTGTTCATTCTTTTTCTGGTGACTTTTCCTTTTTCTTTTCTTTTTTCATAATAGCACCAGTAAGGTAGTCAATTAAAACTGAAAGAAACAATAAAAGAAAACAAGTTTATTAATTTCATACAAAGAAAAGTACCAAAGGGAAAGCATTCTTGAGAGCTAGCTATTACTCTCGCTTGGATCATAGTACAAAAAGAGAAATAAACTGAAAATTTTTAAAAAAAAGCCACGTAACACCGATCTGTGGGTTGCCTCCCACGCAGCTTGAACGTTTGATTCTATATTAGGGAGGCATATATGACAAAAAAAACACATCATCCTTCTTCTTCCTTTTGTTTGTTAGGACTCTCATGAACTTGAGGTGTCAATGATGTTGCTTCATATCTTCTTCATCTTGATAGTAACGAACAAGGCATAAATGGCATCCAATAGTTTATCTATTTCTTCTATTCCATCTTCCTTGTTGCTATAGTATCTTTTGGGGACATTATTTTTCTGAATATTTTCTTGTTGGATATCTGCATCTAGACAAATTATTAAATCAAAAACTAGATCATCTTCTCTTACCATTCTTGCTCTTTTCCATATCTACTTTTTGTCTTTAATTCTTCTATTCTTGATTCAATTTTATTTGAATGCGCTCGTTTTTATTATTTTTCTTTTTCAACTCCTCATTCATCAACGACTTACCATTCGTCTTTGATTTCTATTTCAACTTCATCATTCCAAGAATTGTCCAACATATTCCTCTTAAAAATTTCATTTGATTGAGTTGTCATTTGTTTAGATAATTACCCAATGTGATTTTTAATATTCTTCATGGATGTCTCCATGTTCTTGTTGGATGCTTCAAGGTTTTTGCTGAATGCTTCAATCTCTGAGTGTCTTACTTTCAAGTTGCTCTGATATCACCGAGAATATTGTCGATGGGATGGTCTTTGGAAGACTTTCATGCTGGAGGGAGATCATTGTTGTCGGACGGATGAACTTCCTCAATCCCCTCATGGTGGTGATCTTTTTCCTCCTTAACTTTGACTGGGTCAGGTTGATCAATTCATGTCTCAGCACCCTTGAGTATGTCTTCAGAAGATACACATGCACCATGAAATGAACTACCTTTTCCGATATTTTTCGAATAAGACTCATCAAATATATCAATACACATATTTTTATCCCTTTAATATGGAAACTCTATTATATGCATCATTCGTATCGTCCTTACTCATAATTTTAACTTTTGAAGTCGCAAGACCTAATCAAAAGATCAGCTCTAAGGTCAAAAAATGGGTTGAATATGGACGTAGAATGGTCTATAATGGGGGTTGAATAGACATTTCCCAAAAAAAAAATTGAAAATTTTTTCCAAAAATAAATTTTTAAAACCGTGCATGAGCATAAGTTTTCAAAAGATGCATTATGGATGAAATACATGATTTACTCAATTGCCAAAAAATACAATGAAATATCATTACTAAAAAAAACAATCACCAATTAATCAAATTCAATTCACAACAAGATGTTTTAACATCATTTTTATTAATTAAATTATCAATATAATATTACAAGTTTATACAGATATAATCACCAAAAAGAATATTTAGTCGACCAGATCTAGCACATACATAAGCTTAAACATTAAAACCCTACAAGAATGAAAACCTAACCACATGCAATACTAGAAAGTGACTAAAACCTAATGTGCAATTCTATATAGAAAATAAAAGAGATGGATGGTGAAAATGTACAATGCGATTTATATTGATTCGGTGCATTTATCCTCGCTTGCACCTAGTCCAATCTCTAATGACAAGTCATTAAAAATTGTTGGTTCTTCCACTAACTCACAATTGTTACAAGTGTCTTTTTATACAACAGATAATCACAAACAATATTGAAAACATGAATCTAACAGTCAAACAACACATATTTAAATATTGATTTTTCTTCTATTGTACACAGCTCACAAGGTTGCAAATCTTTTAAAATCTTCACTCGATATTGAATCAACATCTTTTACAAAACTAAAACACTCCAAGATTTCATCTGCAAAGATCTTCACTCGATTCTATCAAAATTCTCTTATTCAACTCTTTGAACTATTGAAGAATCTAAAAACTCCAAAATTTTGTTTGCATTGATCATCCCTTAATCATACCAAAATTCCCTTGGAGAAGAAATTCTTCTTTTTCTTAACTAAAATTCACTCTCTTGAATTCATAATAAGAATTTGATTATTTAATCTTAAATAAAAAAAAACAATCTTCACAAAAACATTAGAACATCTAATGTATCTCACAACTACCACTCATCCTCACTCTTGAGTTGAGTAACCACAATAACGGTGTTTTTGATTATAGGTTCAAGATAGAGTTTTTTTAAACAAATCTCACACATGACCACACTCAAGAATTCAACATAAACACACACAAAATCTTCAAGTTTGAATTAAAAGAGAAAGTTTGTGTGATTGATAAATCACTCTTAATTTTTCAAAGATTCTAAAAATTATGAACATTGCTATATATATATATATATATATATATATATATATATATATATATATATATATATATATATATATATATATATATATATATATATATATATATATATATATATATATATATATATATATATATATATATATATATATAAAATTCATATCAAATTTTATGATAAGAGACTATAAAAGATTACACCTCTCGATAATATCAAATATACTTAATAAATATGTATATACAACACATATATATAATACATTTTGATTTAATACAAATTTTATGAAAAAACTGATAATGCTTTTAGGTTTTAAAATTTTAAATTTTACTATAAAATAATATTTTATTATTATCATATAACTTAAATGAAACCACCGTGTTTTAAGTGGGCCACAAATATATTACATCGGACACCGGTGCATACATAGTAGGGGCAACAGCCCACACATGTTAGAATTTGAGTTTGAGTTATATATATATATATATATATATATATATATATATATATATATATATATATATATATATATATATATATATATATATATATATATATATATATATATATATATATATATATATATATATATATATATATATATATATATATATATATATATATATATATATATATATATATATATATATATATATATATATATATATATATATATATATATATATATATATATATATATATCAATTTGATTTGAGTCAAAAACCAAAATGATTCTTCGAATTAGGTGAGAGACTGACTTGAATCAAGATGATAAAAATAGGATTTTGCTTGTACGATTCGAGACCTGACTTGAATCATATTATTTTATTCAATCTATTTCATGACTTGAATCACATATCTATAATTGAATTTCAATTTTGAAAGTTCATTTATGATTCGAGTCACAAAATGTTATGACTCGAGTCAAGGTGCCCTTTGATTCGAGTCAAGAAAAACTTTAAAAGGACTTTTAGCACAGTCTTTGATTTATTCATGATTTGATTCAAGCAAAATTGTGAATTGTGTCATGCTTGTGTAAAATCTTCATTCAATTCTCTAATTTGTGATTCAAGCAACATAAAATTTAATTTTGGTCAAATGCTCAACTTTTAGAAACATTGTTAATTGTTTTGTGAGATATACAAAATACAATAAAATAGTGATATTTAGAATGCGGCAATACATCAAAATATATAAAATAGCATTGTTATCGAATGAGCAATTTCAATATCTAGTTTCGACCTGAGATAGTGACAAATTGAAAAACAATGATCCATGAAGTCCAAAAGGTACGAGATAGAGAATATTTACCTCTAGGTGAAGTACCTCGTGGAATAAATGTCTTTAATTCAATAGAAGGTTCTAAGATCAGGTAAGTAGATCTGGACAGATCTAGGTCTCCCCTAGCCAAAATTTGAGGAAGGGAGGGAGAAAAAGGTAATTGTTAGATAATAGAATGAGTAATATCTCGACACTTAGCATTATGAAAGGTCTAGATAAGAACTAAAAAGTGAAAAACTTTATGAGGATTCATATAAAAGAAGGATGCAAATATCAAATCGGGTACACGCACAATTTTTTTTACTAAATATACTTTTCATCTCTGATGATCACTGACTTGGGTGTCAGAATGTGTGTAAGTACCTCCCACCTCTTCTCACCTTGTGACCATCTCGAAGACAAGGAAGGATAACCATTCCAAAAGAAAAGCTTTGTCACTATAAAGAACACTAATATGCTCTAAATTTGTTAAAATCCTTTAGAAAAATTCTACTATGCCGAGGGTCTTGTTTCTCTCTATAATATTGCACTAGACTCATAACACAAATGCAATTGTGTTTATCTCAATTGATATTGCACTTGTGTAATACATCTCTTAAGAAATATTGTATTCCACTCTATAATTTAATTTTGAGTGTGTTTTTCTCAATTGATACTAAACTTGTGCAAAATTTGTTGACCAAGTGACTCCAAACATAAGAGGAGAATAAATTTTGATATTTAAAATTCGAAATAATTTATAAAATCTCTTGATTTTGAAAACTTTATGTTAGAATAAATAAACAAATAGAGAAATTGCAACGGAAAAATAGAAAGAAAATAAAAACACAGAAGAAAGTAAAAAAACAAATGAAAATAAAAGAGATAAATGATTGAAATAACACATCATAAAATTATTCTAGTTCAGCCTAAATCACTTGGCCTACTTCATTCCTCAAGAATTTCCCTTGAGATATCCACTAAAATCTCTATGAAAATTCAAATTCCATATTAAAAAGAGATAGTGGTTTCAAAACAATTTAGATAAGTGACACTACTGAATTTACAAATAGATTTTATGAAGAGAAACTAGATTCAATATAAAAATCTTATATCTGCAATACTTAACATATCTTAATTTGAACTTGTTGCAGCATCTCTGTGATGTATTCTCCTTTTCCTGCTAATGTTAGGCTTTGGATTAGCTTCACCAGCCTCCAAAGGAAAATTCAATATAGCTTTCTGACCTCTCATTCTGAAAGCTTCACAATCATAAGCCTTAGCAGCATCTATCTCACTGTCAAATGTTCCTAACCAAACCCTGCTTCCTTTGCTTGTCGGGTCTCGAATCTCTGCCGCAAATTTTCCCCATGGCCTTCTCCTCACTCCTCTGTAACACTTTGTTCCATAACATCTCTGTTCTTTCTTCTCCGACATCATTAATTCTGTCTTCTTCTGTGTTTCATCAAAGGGACTTTCTGCTTTTGAGTTTTGTGGCTTACTATGAGAAGTGAAGTCAATAACTTTTGTATCAGCTTCAAAACCAAGACTTTCAAGGAAAATGCTTTGTTCTGAAAAATATGAATCCTTATCAATTTCTGATGATGATGATGTGTAGTATTCAAGTTTTCCAGAACTGAGATTGGTGGAAAAAGAGTCTGATATATCCTCTAAGAGATGTTGCCTCAATAGTTTCAAACTTGAAGTTTCTTGTGATGCTGCCATTTTTATGAATTCGAGATGAAAAAAAAAAGCATGATCAACTAAGATATATATGAAAGAATATGTATAAACCTGTTAATGTAACAGGATCTCAATCAATCAAATTCTCTTATAAGGGGATACATGAGAATTGATGTTGTTGTTGATACAGTAATCTAGTTGATGAAGTTAACCCTTATAGTTCCTTACACGACTAACACTCTGAGACAGACAGTGTATCTTATCCAAACTAGATGGTTACATATTTGGATGTCCCATATTGAAGTAACATAGTCTTTAGTTAGAGACTCAACTTGATCTTTGGCATTTAGCAATAGAAATCAAATGATGATTTGTGTTGCATACAAAAAGGGTATCAAAAAGTTGTTTTTGGTTGTATCCAGCTGATGAATATGCATAAGTTAGAAAAGGTTGCTGTTATAAGAATGGTACATTTGGGAGTTGGGACTCTCATCTTCAAGTTGTACCTATACATTTAATGACACTTACTATGATATATTAAACAGATCACATCAAGGCAATATCTAGATTTATAATTCATACACTTGCCAAGTGGTTCAGCCAAAACCAGCAAAGGTGAAAACAGAAGTCAAACTAGTGGATGCACTGTTTTTTTCTCTTTATTCTCTACCATCTTCAATACTTCAATTTAGTTAAAAGTATGATATTTCATTTATATGTATTTACTTTTATTAAGGGTTGGTTTACATTAGTTTATCTAAACTTATCAATTGACAAGACTGTTCGGAAGAATTTATAAATATAAATTGACATTTTTCATAAGCTTTTTTTATAATTTATTCTAATAAAATTTTCAAATTATCCTATAAAGACATCTTATAGCATATAATAAAACAATTTAACATTATTTATTATTTGTTATAAAAAAAGATAGTTTTTATAATATATTGATAAGCACATGTGCTATAAGCGGTAAATAAAGGGCAAGGGCACTAGTCAATTTTTGTTGAAGTGGAAGAATTAATTAGTAGTCCATGTTATTTGTTTCCACAAAATTTGTATATTTTGTGACAGAATTGTATATTTAATTTAAGCTAACAAAAAATCTGATAGTTTACAGGAATAGTTGAACACATAATGCCGTATACAAATCTACCATATTCTATTTTCCCAATTAGAAAATAAAAAGAACATGAAGGATCAGTCATAATATGATTAACGCAAAAGGCTAATAAATTTGCAGCAACAGGTAATACATATTATCAAACCCAGATTAGGTAGAGGTAATATTGATCTTATTTGTATCTTTGATCATCTCTTTGTCAACTCTTTGTTGGTCAGGAGGGGTAACAAAACTTGGTTGATTCGTCGACTCAAGAAGTCTAGCCCACATCCTACCTTTTACCTGAACTGTATTTGGTCTCTCTGTCACCCGCTGCAACATGTTTTATGATCAGCTGGTATACTACAAAATGTAATGGAGACAAACTATCCAAAACATAATGAAAAGTGCAATGACTTTTTCCACAGTAGATACACAGTTATATCATGATTCGTCTATATTTTCCTTAATGCATGAGAAAAAGTAAAAAGGAAAAAAAAAAAGATTTTGCTGATGTAGTAGAATGTCAAATCAAATAAAACCATAACAGAAGGTTGTTTGTTAGAGAAGCCTCCTGGCAGGTATTAGAAAATATTCACTAACAAAATGAGGAAAAAAGAATCCAAATTACTCGTATGCCTTATCCCAATAATGCTTATGGATTTAGAATATAACAACGCTTTGCATTTGGAATAGTTTATTTTTTAGATGATGTGCATGAAAGCAGATCAGGACACCGTGCAATTCATTAAATTCCTTTACACAATAGCGGTTTCATATCCTCTACACAACCCTTGTTCATTCTAGGAAGCTTTTCCATTGGATTATAGTCTTATACTACGTAGAAACTAATAACCAGCAGCCTGATCAGTATAGTACATAAGAAAGAGCCAAGAGAAGATATTTTAGTTGGAAAATGTAAATGTTGTTAACAGAATACAAACACTTGTTTAGAAAATAATTTGAATGAAAAATAAACTGAGATTAAATTTTAGCCGCAAAAGTAACATACTTGAATATATAAACATGAGTTAATGAAATGAACCACTTACAGCGATTGGGAGATAAGCATGTCTATTGTTCACAGGCCCAACTGTGAAGCCAGAATATCCTGCCATAGCTCCATGAACAGCCCCATGAGCAAGAAGAGTGCAGTAAACGTTGTCTGAGGCATTACTTGGAATAGCTCGAATCATATATGTAGGATCTATGAAAGAAACACAAACAAAAGTTTCATAATAAACTTTAATATTTCAATAGAGAAGAAAAGTGAAAAGATTTTAACAGAATTACTTGACAAATGTGCCCATATTAAGTTTTAAGTCATCAATCAAATCAAAAAGTTAGGTTGGATGAAAATAAATTATAAAATACAGAATAATTTTACTAAAACTTAATTATTTTTGTGTTTTGTTTCAATTGGATTTTCAATAGCTTTTGTACGAGTTTCAGTTGTGCTCTGTAAGATCTTCAAACTTAAATTAGATTTTCAATTGGATACTACATTTTCATGGAACTCTTTATCAGAGATCAACCTATTGTTAGTTGAAAGCAACATTCATTTAGGTAATCTATCATAATTAAAACAAATACAAAAGGACTGAAGAAACTCATGAACATACCTATATATTTCATATTTACCGCCATTTTAGGAAACTTTGTGAAATGATCCTGTAACAAGTTGGTTGTATATTAAGAAACAAAATGAATAACATGTTTGGTTAGAACTTGTGGAGAAGTGATAAGTAATGCTCATCAAAACGAGAAGACTGTTGCATTTGTTTGTACAAATAGCAACACTCAGTCACGGGCAAGTCCAAAGTCTACACTGCTTTCATCCAGGTTCAAATTCGTCTATTTGAAAGTATAGTTATTGACTGTCATTTCACTTTCTTTAGTACTATGAGGAAGAACAAATCAGAAAACTGGACTAGACCTCCAATCTCAAAGCAATCTAACACAAGTTCTATGATAAAAAAAAATACTACAAAAAAATAAAAATAAAATGAATTTAGCAAGAAAACTTCACAAGATTGTAATCGATATTTAACATTATAGAATGAATCTTTTAGTAAGTTAACTGATATTGGCATAAATGTGGTTCTAAAAAGAAATGCATAAATTAAAAGCTCTCTACAATGCACAAAATTCCAAATAATTCATATTTTAAACAAGTGTAGAGAAAAGAAGGAAAGATGTGCCATGCCTTGATCTTATTGGATAACCACGGACCAACATCACGAAGTAGCTTGTTTCCTGATGCATCCTTTTCACCTACTGCATGCACTTCTGCAGCAACAAATTCCTGACCAGCTCCTTCTGCTACCACAATAACTAAATGTCCATTTTCTTTTAACCTCTGTTCAATAAACTCAAAAAGCCCACCTCTTCCTTCCAAATAGAATGAAGACTCTGGAATCAAGCAGCAATCCTGTTACAACTCTTGATATTAGTAGGTAGACCTTTTCTCTTTTGAGAAAATCAATAATACAAGAGTTCCGACGGGAGTCATGTACCGAAAAAAATTAAATACATGATTACTAAGAAAAGAGAAACCGCAATACATATAAAGCAACTAATAAATTCTGCAACTGGTTGAACCCTTACCACATCTCGACTTGCCAAAGTTGCATACATGGCAATGAAACCTGCAGATGGAAGCTTGTAAAGCATTTTTCTGAAAAGAGAAATAGGATGCTTAAAAATCTAACACCAATATTTCATTCATCATATAGAGCTCCCCCTCTATGTCAATCATCGTATTTGGACAAACTAGAATTTAAATAAATAAATAAATAAAAATTTAGAAAAAAAAACAACATGGAGAATTTGTTGAGCACTATTTACCACTGTATCTTCCCATTAGCTTAACAATTCCAATTCCATTTTCAACACTATTAACCTCCACATGTGCAGCGTTAATGGCTCTTTGGGCTTCTTCCACAGCAGTATCAAATCCAAAAGATTTGTCTATCACCTAGAGGAAAACATGAAAAATATCACAAAATGTTCTTGCTATGTACATGTTTGATTTAAATTTATAAATCTATCTATAATAATATAATATTATACATAGACAAAAGTTTTTGAAAAACAAATGATTACTTGGTTTCTTTTGGTGAGTTCACACTTGACCTGGTCAACATACTTATTAGATTTTTTTTCACTGTCAAATTTGTAAAGTTGCTAGATTATTTACAAGTTGGAACCACATGATTACTTGGTTTGTTTTGGGTAATATTTGTTTACATCAGGTGTCAATGTGTTTGGACCAAAGCTAATATTTTGAGTTGATGATGTTACAGTCATGTCAGAGTTGGATTCTGTAAGCCCCTGATTTTTAACTTTTTTGTTAAGTAGCCTAATGGTTGGAGTCCACCTTATTAAAGATGAACAAATGGGATTTCGCAGTTCGAACCTGTGCCCCTGCAACCAACGTTTCTAAACAACTACCAACCGAGCTGTCTTAACGGGACGTGAACCACTGATTTAAAATGGTGAAAACTTGAAATTTTTCAACTCTGGTCTGTCTGCAAAATTTAGAATGTCCTACTTTTTTAAGAAAAACAAAAACTTGGATCTGTATTTCTATAGAATTTTTTACATCTTGGTCATGTTTTGATGGGTTGGATAGCAGCCCTATGCGCTGGTCATTGCCCTGAATTTTGGGTCGTGTTTGTGAAATGTTTGGTTAATTAGATGATTCCAAAGACATGGGACAACACCTATGAGCACAACAGTAAAGATTATTTGCACCACCAATGTTTGCAGCAAAAAAATAAGGAAAGATTCAAACTGATATCTTCCTATAAAAAAGTTAGCATTGCTCTGTAAGGGTGTTTTTGGGAGTTGGGTTGTGGGGGGGAAGGTTTTGGAGGACTAAGTTTACACTTTTATAAATTATATATTTGATATTTATAATTGAAAGAACATGATAAATGATCAAATAATACATCAATCACACTTAATTCATTTCTAAAAAACGTTATTATCCTTAATTTTAAAAAGAAAAGTAAGTCCTCCCTTCCAAAACAACTCAACTCACAAACAAAGCCTATGAGAATATGAAGATCAATTTTGGCTTGCCAAAACAACACCAAAACCATCAACTATATTATCAATTCATACTCCTTATTAAAACTACACTATCTTTTTTGGGTCTTGACCCTCTAGCTCTAAGGGATGGGGGGCCCTAGTAAAACGAGATTCAGCCGAGAGGCAAGTAAAGTTTGGCCAAAGAATGTTTCCGCCAGGACACAAACTTGGATTCTCCCAACCGATTCAACCTTCACTAGAGCTCATTAACAACTTGAGCCCAATCACATGGTTAAAAATACAGTCCAATTTGCTTGTTATGAGCATTATTTTTCCCCACAAAATAGACACAGTAATGATGCAATAATAATAATAATAATAATAATAATAATAAAGAAAAAATAAAAAAACAAGAATGTCGTTAGTGAATTAAATTTCCATGTGTGCATAAGTGCTGAATAGATTATGGCTAAGAAACTTACAGCAATATCATTATCAATTGTCTTCGGAATCCCAGCCACAGCCACTTGAAGACGACGTTTTTCAACTTCCTTCATCAAAGGATGCTCACATTACATTATTCCATAATAAAACTACATAATGGACTTGTTGAGAATAATTGATTACCTCATAAATGAGGGAAGCTCCTTTTTGGGTACCATCACCTCCAATAATGTAGACCTAATATGCACGGATCAAATTTCCCATTGGCTGTCCATAATCTATTAAGCACCCAAAGCTACAAAATTTAATAAAATTTAACAATGAACTACCTGATTTATTCCTCGGTCTTCAATGTTATCGACTATCTTGTTGGTATCATGTCCTCCACGAGATGTACGAAGAAATGTTCCCCCAAGTTTATGGATATCATTAACCACTTTAGGTGTCAACTTCATGGTATTTTTCGAATAAAACCCTTTGTATCCTTCCTGAATGAGTTCCAGGAGCAACATGGTGAATAATAAGAACTCAAAAAATGATCATAGAAGAAACTGAGAAACTGAGAAACAGAGCTCACAGATTGTTACAATGTTCAAAACCCTACAACAATATACCCAGAGAGTCTATTTACATTTTGGAGATAGATCAGTTTATACTAATAACTAATAAGTGTTATCAAGTTACATGTTGTTATGTTTTATATCAACACAGCATTTTTTTTTCTCAATGTGCCCTGCCCATCATAATATTCATGATAGAATGACAGGTGTTTTCCAAGAATAGCCTAGTTTTCTAACTTAAGAAATTAAAGATTTTTTTGCAAAGTTCATGCAATACTAGCTGTTAAGATCCCAAATTAATTACGGATGCAACTAAAGTAAGTAATTATTACAAGACTTGGCAATTTACACCCCTTAAGCTAGCTTTTGGCATTTAGTTAGGCTCATTCCAAATTCGAAAATGGTATCACGGCCTGACCTAGATCTATTATTAGACCCACACACATTAGTCCACGCCGCTCTATATAACCAATCTTGCGCGTGAAGGGATGTGTTGAAATCCCACGTTGAGTCAAGCTATAACCAAAATAGTCCTTATAACTTATTGTAAGAGTTAAATGTAATCTGAACTAGTTTTTTCTGTTTCTTAGAGCCTTCAATTCCATTGAAGTTAGTTACTAAGGGTGTATGATAACTCTTGATTAGTGTTGGTTAAGAAACCTAATATAAACCCTTGTAACTAACTTTATTTCATCAATCATAACAGAATTTCAAAACTAGTCTAGAATGCAGTTTAGCTTTACTTTCATCTTCTCTAAAACTTATAAGACTTGGGCAATCCTCACCCCTTAAGCTAGCTTTTGGGGTGGAGTTAGATTTGGCCCAAATTGTAAAACTGGTTAACAATTGTTTTGTGGCTTCCCTCCTTTGCTATTATAGTTATAAATTTGGTTGTTTCATGCAATCCTTTCCATTTTCTTGGTTATTTTCTCTAGGTAATTTTCCTTAGGAGGATTTTGTATCCTTCTTTCTCTTTATCCTTTCTCTTCACCTTAAAAAAGTTCTGTTCAAAAAAAAATAGATTAAAAAACACAAATGACGTCCTACCTATTCAACAAACAAAAAACATCAAATTATATATTTTTTCCATATTTTATCTGAACTATTAATAATTTCTACAAATAGAATAGATTAATTCTTCAATCAACAACAATAAGGAAGGAGTATTGTATTTTTAACATATATCCAGAAAATTGTAATTTCACAAAACTCACCTCAATCCCAAGTACATCTTGAACACCATACATGTTGTTCAAGCCACATACAATTTCCCGAATCACCGTATTAATTCCTGGGCACAATCCTCCACAAGTCACTATGCAAGCTCGTACTTCTTCCGCCTTGAAGTAAACCTAATATTAGAAAGCCCCGTCAGCTTCTAAAGATTACAAATATACATAGACTTTCCCGTGTTTTATACCTTTTCTCGAGGTCCAGCACGGCGAAAATGAAATCCTCTAGGACTATCTTTCTGAACAACAATCTGAACACGAAAAACATTGTTAATCAATCAGAAAAGAAAACATAATTCACAAACAAGTGAAAAGATTGGAGCACTCACAGTTTGTGCAACTGCATCTTCTGGACTTACAAAAGTATTCCTGAAAGTTCAAAACAATTCAAAGAAAAGTTCATAATAAAATAATTTAATGAAACAAAAAAAAAACTAAGCGAAATGCAAAGAAGTGGATTTACTTGACAATGGAATAAGCTTGCTGTTTTTGCAATGGATTTGGATACGACTGCAAGAGAGGAATTAACGCAGTAAGTATCAGAAATCAGCGTAATACATGATAATCACTATGATTGTTGAAAAAAGAGTTAGAAAAGGAAAACGTACCGGCAAATCGGGGAGGAAATTGGTAAGGTGTGGAACGTCTTCGAGGACAAAACCGTCAATTTGAGTGGGATCGGAAACCCGAGTATGTAAGAGTGGGAGATTGTTTTGGCGGGAAAACGGTGGTGGTGGGATTCGGATAAAGTGTCCGCGGTGGGAAAAGTGGGATCGCAATAGTTTGAGAGGGTTTGGACGGAGAGAGGAAGAGGAGGGAGAGAGTGTGGGAGGGGTTTTGTTAGAGATAGAAGAGAAGGTGAGAGAAAAAGAAGCGCGTAGATCCATTTTTTTTCTTTTTCTATGCTTTGGGAGATGAATCTCACCGGACAACAGATTAGAAGAAATCTGAAAGATCATACGAATATGGTCATTTTAATGTTTAGAAATAGAAAAAATACCCTCATCTTGTTAAAATGACATCGATCCCTCTCTAATTTTAAAAACTTTAAAATAAATACAAATTTTTCTTAAACATACATGTGCAAATTGATGTGACAACCAAAAAGATTGGATTGCAAAACGGATTGGGTTCTTCGGGCCCGTTTAATCTTTTTTTTTTTTTTGGCGAGTAAGGATAAGATTTTTGTTCGATATTTTAAGTCTGTCTGCATCGCCTAACTCATTTTTAAAACAAGACAAAGGCAAGGCACAGACTTTTTGTTTAAAAATATTATTTTTTTTATTTGGAACTAAAACAATATTAACGTGGCATATAATAGATATACTTTTAAAACAACTCTCATTTCTTCAAATCATAATATTCATTTTTCACATAACCACAAACACCTCATTTTGAAGACATTAATTGGTCTTTGTTTCGTTCTTTATTTTCGCTCATAGTAAAAAAAATCTTCATTGCAAAATATAGAGAATACATTCTTTTCTATTTTCTATTATTCTTTGTCATTGGAGGCGGGTTCTAAAGTTATAAGATAAGTTTTGCACATAAAGGTTTGTTTCTCATTATGATTATAAAGTCGGTTCTAAAATTATAAGATAAGTTTTGCACAGAGAGGTTTGTTTCTCATTTGTCGCTACTCGAAAATGCAACGACGAAGAGGCGAAAAAGAAAAGACAGAAGAGTCATCATCGAACTTTATTTATCCCATAAGGGGAAGGGGAAACATCGAGAAAACCCTAAGAAAGGAACGGATAAGATGGTCTCGCAACTAAAAGAACGAGTTCAGAAACTGGTTATGCGAAGGAAAAGTATTAGCACCCCTCACATCCATCGTACTCGATAGGAACCATTTGTTTGTCTATGTGTGAAGATACTTGCTAAAATATGTTGTTATACATAGTGTTCTAAGGGGAAAGAGAAAGGCTTAGAAACAGAGAAAAGAGAAGATAAAAAAGGGAAAGAGAAAGGTTGGAAATAGGGAAAGAGAAGATAAAAAGGGGGAAAATAGACTCGGTAGGACCTCGCGGTCTTATGCCTACGTATTCTCAACAGGTATGAGAAAGTCAAAGTCAACGTAGTTCGGAGAACTACGAATAAAAAAGGGATATAAGTGTGCTCGGCAAGGATTGAGGTCCTTGTGCCTACGTATCTTTACTTAAAATAAGTAAAGAATCAGAGCAGTCGTAGTTCGGCCTATGGTTTACTGGTAAGCTCTTGTAGACGATGATAATATACGCATTCTAATAGTTAGGTGTATTGCAGCTCGCTTGTGGAGTCTTAGTCGTTACCTGTTTGCGGTAGAACGGACGTGACATGTCCTTCTCTGAGGGAAATCGGGGGATTAAAGATGGAAAGGGAAGAAAAGTGTTTGCTAGGATCGTCGCAATCCTATGCCTAAGTATTCTCAACAGGCATAAGAAATCAGAGCAGTCGCAATTCGGCCTACGATTGACTGGGAAGTTCTGGTAGACGATGCTAACATACGCATTCTAACAACTAGGTGTATTGCAGCTCGCTTGTGGAGTCTTAGGCGTTACCTGTTTGCGGAAGAACGGATGTAACACGTCCTTTCGAAAAGAGATAGTTTTTGCCATCGAGGCAAGATGTCACATTTGGTATGTGGAAGTTATTTTTAGGGTGAAATAGGTCCTCGAATAGTAACCCCTTGCGGGTAGTACCCAATTCTTTATCTTAAAAGAATTATTGTGAAAGTGGCGTGGCGAATATAGTTACGTATTCGCATTGAAAGACGAGTGTCGAGATCACACACTCTACAGTGAGTATCCTGACACTCGGTGAGGAAGAAGTATGCACTCAATCCTCTATCTTTAGTTCAATACAAAGAGTACTTCATTCTCTTATTAAAAATATTTTGATCTTGAATGGTAAGTGTTTTACGACAGTGAACCCTAAAGGTAATGTCAAGCACTCGGGATAGGACAGGAGGCATTCGCCTAACCACTTCACAACCATCCAAGTTTTATTAGGAAAAGAATTTGAAAACGCACTTGGTATGAGACCGAGGTTTTAAGAGAAAAGTTGTAAAAGAAAACAGGTGGTGAATTGATTTGACAGCTTATTGAGAAAATATGCTTGACGTTGGATTAAGGGTTTAACTTATACTTGCATGTAAAACATGGTGGAATGAAAGTGGGTTTGAAAAATGGCTCGACGATGAGTCGAGGGTTTTGATTGAAAACGGAACCGGCTTGACGACGAGTCAAGGGTTAAGGCATGAGAAATGATACTAGTCCCTGGGGGTGATCCTAATATCGAGTCCACAATGAAGTGTAGCGGTGTGTGTGATAGGTTGATGGCGAATGCGGACGGGCACTCGACTTACAAAGGGGAGTTTGAAAATGGCTCGACGATGAATCGAGAATTAGTTTGAAAACGGTTATACTAGTCCCTGGGGGTGCTCCTAGAAGATAAACCGCAATCAAAGAAATACAAAATACGTACATCGAAAATGGGAAAGGGGTACATGTAAATTACACAGGATTGCACGAAATAAAAGGTTTCATTGTCAGGTAGCCCAAGAGAAAGTTGTGTGTGTGCAATGTGTCCTAAATTAAGCCTTGAGCAAAAGTCGGGCCCAACTCCATGCTAGGGTTCCTGAAAATGTCCAAAGATCCTTCACTCAGACAAACAACCAACAGTCCACCAATTTAAGATTTTATGGTTTCGATAGTTGTTAAGTGTTTTAAAAGAATGTGAATAAGAGAATAAATGAATATGAATATATACAAGATATGAATAATATACAGGATATATAACAATATATACAAGAATATTCATAATAATATATCAAGAGAAATATTAACAAGTATATGGGCAAGATAATACAATCGAGATAATATTAACTGAAAGTAAAATTGTGGTATATTTGACTGGAAATAAAGCAGGTGTATATTGTCGGAAAGTAAAGTTAGTGGTAAGTTTGTTATTGAATTGAATTGGGACAAAATGTAACATTAAACCGTCGTAGCTCGATTTATGATGAAAGTCGAACTATATGAGGTCGCGTAAATTGATGTCCGTGCTAAAAACAAGATAGAGAAATGATATTGAGGATCATTCTCCGATTTAATCGCGTCGCACGGACAAAAGAATGGTGGGATCTCGTCTTAATCACAAACTCGTGTTAGTTAATCGAGGGAAACCTCTCATGATGCCAAAGTATAGAAAAATGATTCAAATGATCATTTTCTACATATTTGAAACAATGAAGGTTATCAACCTTGAAAACCAACATTCGTGAATCGAAGACTTCATAGATCGAGAAATTTAAATAAAATCAAAATGAAGAAGAAAATGAGAATAAAAAAAGAAAAATAGTCTCAGATCCATCATTATTTATCAATAGTTTGACTAGTAATGATTTTCGGAGGTCTCGTCATCGGCCGAAAATAAATGAAAACGAGATTGAATGAAGAGAAATAAAACGAAAATAAAAGAATTATCAGAAGGAAATAATCAAATGGAAAATAGACATAAAAAAACAAAAATCTACAATTTAAGAAATACTATTCTCTAAAAAACTTTATTTAGAATAAATTATCAAGAAACTCTAAAAAAACCTATTTAAAATAAAGTATCAAAAATTCTAAAACTTATTTAGAATAAAATACAAAAGAATCTAAAAAAACTTATTTAAAATAAAATAATAAGATAAGAGGAAGGGGGTCTGTATTAAGAAAAAAAAGGGTGAAAATACGATAAGGTTTCAAATGGAATCATCATGGGCCATAGGCCCATTCATCCAATAATGTGGACGGTATCCAGAAAAAGGGTGGTGTTGAGTGGGAGCAGATGGGCTTTCCAAGCCCAACAACACTAAAAACCGATGGTTCCTCTCTTTTCTTTGATAAAGAAAAAAAGAAAATAATAAAAAGAAATAACAAGTGCAATCTGAAGGAAACCATCTTCTTCCTCGTTCTTCCTCAAAATAGCCTTCATCACATCCTTAGAGTGAAATGAACAAAAAAATCAACCAAGCAGCAAGCTCAAGATCATTGTTGCGGCTCTCAATCCAACCTTCCTCACTTTGTTTTCGATTCTGCCAAATCAGACCTTTGTCTTCTCGAATCTCCTCTTTATCTTTTCAATCTCTCTCGATCTGCTTCATATCTATGTTGTTCTAATTTGAGTAGGTTTTTGGTTGTGAAATTGTGGGTTTGGAGCTTTAGAAGATGGAGTTTGGGTTTGAAGGAGAGTAAAGGATTTAGGTTGAAAGGATTCTTGGTTATTTGAAATCCTTGAAGCAGAAAAAATGGAAATTGGGGGTTTGTAGTAGACTAGATCGAAGAAGATAGAGGTTTATGGGAGATTTCACAGGGTTTTCGAATATTTGAAGGAGAGTATTTAGGGCGAAGGTCCTGTTGTCGTGATTGGTTTGGGCGAAATAATTTATGTTTTTTTTTTTGTGAATTGAAGGAAGGAAATGGGTTGAAGAAATATGATGTGAGGTTGGGTTGTTTTTTTTTCTGCAAGTTTTTTTTATGATTTATCTGCAAGTGGATTGGTTTTGTGAGGTTGTAATAGTTAAAGAATGAAGAAGGTCCATTGTTGTTTGTTGTTGTGAAAACCGGTCGAAGGCTTAACCAGAGGAAGATTGAAGGTGGTTTTTTTATTATTGTGAGGTGGGGATTTTGGGGTGTGTTTGTGGTTAAGGGTCCCGTTGAAGGTTTAAGAGATATGGTTTAGTGAAGAAGAGTTTAGAGAAGGTTGAGGGATTAATGGAGGTTTAGAGGAATACGTTGTTGCGAGTTACAGTTTTTTTCCGTGAAATTCAAGCTTCCTCCTCCCCCTGGCTGTCGACTCCCTCCTGTTTTATGCTGGTCATCTGGCTTTGTTGGTGTGCCTCCTTTTTTGGAGATGGAAT